GCCCTGGCTAGGACTTCCAGTATTATATTGAAAAGCAATGGTGAGAGTGGACATCCTTGTCTTGTTCCAGATCTTAATGGAATTGCTTTCAGCTTTTCACCATTGAGAATGATACTGGCTCAACAGTCTTATTTCGAGCACAGGAGGAATTTAGTCACACCTAAAGCTCTCCAGCTTGACAAAGGAAATGGACTATCTTGTTTCTCTCTGAAAGGGACTCATTTGGGTAGAGACTGTAAGTGGCAAAGAGCAAATTCCAAGAAGAAAGTGACCAGTTTTTGTTCTATAAAAGTTTCTTACGTCTGCAGAGCATCTGCCATAGGGAATTCTGCTGGACAGCAGGATGGCTAAGAGATGGTCAGGAAAGAAAAGAGACTGACTACCTTTCTGATGTCTAATCCAAGGACTGAGACTCACTGGAGGACTTTGGTGACAAGAATACGGCACAATGAGGGAATCATTCTGGCTGCTGTAAATGAAACAGATTTCAAGGTGATGAAGAAGGAGGTAGATATCATAACAAAGCCCCAAATCCATTAGCTAAAGCATTTTAATAGTATATGTAGAAAGAGGGAATGGCAGTTACTAGCTATTTTATTAGAGGAAGAAAATGACAGTCTTAGAAACAGCCTGATGAGAAAAAAAAAACAAAACCTTAAGATGGAAGGCTTAAGATCAAGGTTAAAAAAAAAAAATACAACCATTAAAAGGGGAAATTATTGGGAGAAATCAATGTTTTTGGTGAAAGGAATCAGTGCTCTTTGGGAAAAGGCTGATTTCAGGTCTGGAACAGGTAATGGAAGTGACAAATTTAGACTATCTTGTGCAAGAAATCAACAAAGCTATCAGAGACTACTGTGGCCTTGTAAAAGTATATAGGAACCAAGGAGAAATTAAGCATCAAATAGAATACTGACTACAATGGTTTGGAACAAAGGTATTCAGATCCACAAGTTCTTAATATATTTTAAAAAAGAGAGAAACTCATTGAGTATATGAGATATTGTTAGTGCACCAAAGCACTACCCAGAAAACTGATGAAAGAGAAAAAAGTAAGCATTTTCCTTGTCTTTCCCGTACAATCTGAAATTTAGGAGACCTAGTAGTTTGTGAGGGTAAGTTCTTTATTGACAGAATTCCAAGTAATAAATGCAAAAGGAATGATATATTTAAATCACCATTTAAATCATATTTAAATCTAATTTAGATCTAGGCTTCAACCATCATGATACTCAAATCATTAGGGAAAAGGTAGAAAGGTAAGCTGACTCTACCTTGAACCTACTAATCAATCTTAATATCTCAAAAGAGAGCTATCCAGACACCATGTGTCTTGGGGAATGTGATGCAATAGATTCCACACACCACCACCTATAAAAGATGCTTGCCTTCCATCCTCAATCTAAACAAGTCTCTACTTCTAACTACCAGATTACAGAAACATGTAGAACAGAGAACAAGTTAAATGACACCAGAAGTAGCCATCCCAGAAAGGGGAACATTTGTACTGAACAAATGAGCTACTCTGTCATCAAATCAATGGCATGGGGAAAAAAAGGGAGAGACGACTATTATAAAATAGATTTAAAACAATCAAATGCAAAACATGGCCCTTGTTTGGTTTCTGATTCCAACAAATCATTAGTAGAAAGACATCTTTGAGAAAATTTGAATATGGGAATTATATTAAGTAATTATTGTTAATATTTTTAGGTGTGGAAAAGGCATGGAAGTTGTTTTGTTTTGTTTTTAAGGGAAAAGTCCTCAACAAAGACATAAAAAGAAACATTCAGGACTGAGATGACTATTTAGGATTTTGCTTTGATATATACCGGCCCCAACAAAGACAGCAGGAAAGGGCAAATAAATGAAACAAGACTGACAAAATGTTAATAACTGTTGAAAGGTAGGTATTTATTATACAATTCTCATAATCTCCACAACACTAAGCTTTAAAAATGATTACATTTGGTGGAAATTCAAGCTGTGACTTATCTTACCACTCGTTTTAGGAAGTAACTTTCACAAAGCAAAATTTAACCATTTCTTTCCTGGTGTAAAAGTTTAGATCAGGGGCCTTCCCTGGTGGCGCAGTGGTTGAGCGCTGGGTTGTGAGGCTGCGCAGCCTCTGCAGCGCCAGTTCAATCCCCGGCCACTGGTGAGGGTCCCACAAAAAAAAAAAAAAAAAAAAAAAAAGTTTAGATCAGTTTGCATTTTGAATTCTATACGATCAGAAGTGATTGAACCAAAAAACTCTTCTGCAGTATTAACCAAATGTCAGCTTAATTTTTCGCAGTAAGACAGAACCTACAGGGCACCAAAGTTGAGCAACACAACCCACAAAGGCACTTACTTGATGACTGCTGGTGTCAGAATGTCCAACCAGATTGATGGAATCCAAAGGCAGTGTGGACAAGAGCCACAAGCATCCTCAAATCAGATCTTGGTCAACACAGAAATGGCAGACTTTCTTACCAACTTATGTAAGGCACAGAGCTACTTCTCTACCAGTGGTAATCAATTTGTGTTAACTTGTCCCTCACTCAGCTATAAGCTGGAGGTATAGCTGTGAGATACAAAACCACAGGTCCACAAAAGAATCTAAGCCACCATTGTTTGCATTAGCATCAGTACCCTAAATCCAAAGGGCTAACCAGATGACCCAACAAGTCACCAACTGGTTTGGTACATATTTTATCTATTTTTCTCTTTCTTTCAAATGGCTTTTGTTTCGGGCTGACTGCTTGTGCTCCCCACTCCACCCCACCCCCCAATCATATGTGGAAGCCCTAACTTCCAGTGTAATGGTATAAGGAGACAGGGTCTATGGGAAGTGCTGGGGGTTAGACTAGGTCATAGGGTGGGGTTTCCATGAAGGAATTAGTGGCCTTAGAAGAAAAGAAAGAGAAATCTCTTCCTTCATGCAGAGACCTCCATGTGAGGTCACAGAGATAAGGCAGATATCTATAAGCCAGGAAGAGAAGCCTCATCAGAAACCAAATCTGCTGGCATCTTGATCTTGGGCTTCCAAGTCTCCAGAACTACGAGGAAATACATTTCTCTTATTTGTGCCACCCAGTCTACAGCATTTTGTTCTGGCAGCCTGAGCAGACTAATATAGGTACATATTTCATCTGTTTTCCTCTTTCCTTCAAACTCCTTAGTATCCCTTTTATGAATGAAGGTTGCCAGATCACAGAGGAGGATCCAAAGTCAAAGGGCGGGAGAAAGGATATTTGGAAATTATGGGTTTCCAACACTGGAAAATGTGACTATATTCCTTCAAGAAAATACTAGCCATGCACCTGTGAAATGTGTTTGGAATGTCCCAAAGAGAAGGAATTCATTATTAAGCAAAGAAAGGCTAATAAAGGATACATCATTTTTAAGTAATCACATTCAAAAGAACTGGGAAAAGTAAATATGTATATTGGAAAGGTACACAGTATCATACAGGCAGCGAGAAAACACAAGCTTCCATGCAGATGAACAGTACAGGTCTATTTATACAGAAACCTTCAGCAATCTCCTCACAGATTGCCTGACTGCCCTCATGTCTTCAATATTCTGTGCCATGAAAAAGTAACTGTCAAGGATAATAGGAACACGATTTGACCTACTTTTCCCGAGATTTCTGCAAATCTCTAACGCTGGTTCTTGCATTTATTTAGCTATCACATCTTCGGGACACATGCGCTAGCTTTCTTTGCAGATAATCCTGTATGCCAAATGTTAAGGTCACTTGTGGGCAATTCCTAAACTCCCCTGGTCATGGGCTTTAAAACATCCTAATCCCGCTAATCCTCACCCTGCTAATCCCCAGAACATTCTTCCAAGATAGATCATGTACAATCATTCCTTCCCCGGAAGGAAAATGCCTAGCAAAGGAGGACCACAGCCTAGAGAGGCTGAAGATACATTAGTTCACAACCTTCCCTACAAATGAAGCCACATCAAAACGAGTGTTTCAGCCTAACTCTCAAGTTTCCACAAACCTGTGTTTGCAAGAGCTCAAAGTCCCCCAGTAAGGTCTTCATTTAAAGGCAGACAACCAAGACCAATATTTTGAGTTATGGCCCAAAACAAAACCAACAAACACCTACACTACTGCACCTTCTCAGGAAAGCCTACTTAACAATTCTTTTTTCAAATTGAGCACAACCCATTCAAAGGTGCCCCAGAGCCCCGGTGAGCAGGGAAACCTGAGTAAAACAGCCCCGTGGCCTGCGGCCTGCTGAGTGCTTGTGAAAGATCCCAGAAGACAATTGGCAGACTGTTCTGTTTCTCCTGACATACAAAACATGCCTGACCTGATCAGGTCATTGGATGCACTTAGAACTCAATGAGGGACACTCCTTCACCGGGAAATCATATCAGAACACATCATCAGGAAGTCAATATTTAAGAGTCTTGGGGGCGTGCACCCTCCTGCTCAAGGAAGCGTCAGCGAATACTAAGAGCTGGAGACTCCGGAACGCAGGGGCCAGAAGCTCGCCCAGGAACTTCCAACTCCTGGGTCTCCCCCTCCGCGGTGGCTGCGGCCAGAGCCAGCCGCAAAGCCCAGAGCTTGCAATCCAGCATCCAAAACAAGCGTCCTCGTCTCCTGCCTCCTGCACACTGGGATCCCCCTCGAGGGGCCGGAGGCTCACAGTCGGGACAGGGCCGGCTGACTGTTAGGCACCCGACACCTGCAGCTTCCCCTCTGGGGAGAGGCAAACGGCCATTCTTCCGGCGAAGCCCACGGTCCGGCGGCCGGAACCCAGGTGTCCTGGGGCTAAGTCAAGTGCATCTGGGTGGAGGGGAAACCGTCGCCCACCTTGGGGCAGCCCAAGACCCCGCCGTCTCGGGTCCCTCTTCTGCCCAGTCCGGCACAAGTGCGCCCCTTCCGCCACCTCCCCAACTTCCAGACGACCCCCTCGGCGGCCCGGGAGCACGGGCACGATCTCCACGTGCGCGCCGCCCATGCTCACTCGGGCCGGGCGGGGACCCCCGCCACTCACCCGGCCCCCGGCGGCGCTCCGCTTCCTCCGCAGGGTGAGCCCGCTCCGCAGCAGCGCGGGCAGGTCCCTCAGCCGCGGCCGCAGCGGCGCGGGCGGCTGTTCGCGGTCCGGCTCGCGGGCGCTGGGGCTGCGGCGCAGGGCGCCGTCCGCCGCCGCCACGGCCGCCACCGAGGCCAGGGCCGGGCTCTCGCACGGCGGCTGCATCTTCACGGAGTCCACGGCCATCCTCATGCCCTGACGGCGGCGCGGCGCCGGCGGCTCCTCTCACCGCGCTCGCCTCCGCGCGCCGTCCGCGCCTTCGCCAGGCAGCGAGAGGGCGCGACTGCGGCTCGGGCGCGGGGCGCGCTGCCAGCTGCTGCCCATTGGCGCGCGCCACGGCCCCCGCCAGGCTCTGCCCCGCGCGCCTCCCCCTCCCCGCCCAGGTGCGCCGGCCCCGCCCCGCCGCCCCGCCCTCTCCAGCGGCTCACCTCCCCCGGCGGCCTGGCACCCCTCCGCGGGTCCCGACCCGAGGAGGGGAAGGTAGGCACCTTGGGCGCCGCCTTATCCACAGGTGCGGGACACCCAGAATCCTCCACCAAGCCCGCTCTCCCCACCCCCCACATTCCCTGTAGGCTGATAAAGTCCCATTCCTCTCCCCTTTCCTAACAGCCTGCAAAGTCTGGACCACTCCCGCCCTCTCCTCCCCTCCTCCCCTCCTCCCCTGCCCCTTCCCGAGCCTTTGCTCCGCCTAGCCCCAAATCTTAATCTCTAGGCCTAGAAACGGTTTTTGCCAAAGAATTTCAAAATAGAGTCTGCATTCTGCTACAAGTCAAACAACATTGAGGCAGAATTGTCCCCACACTGTCCCCTTTTTGCTACACTCGTCATTAAAGGGGAAGGGGAGAAAACTTTCGTTGTTTCTGATAGGTGTTTAGCAAAATAGGTGCAAGTCTGGTGATCTGAAGGTAGAATCTCTGTTAGCATGTTGGAACCTGACCTTCCATGAAAGCCTGATGCATGTGATGAATGTGCTTGGTAAACTGTGAAGGCCGTGGTGTGAATCATTGTTTACATCATTCCAGGAGCTCGGAGTAGTGAAGTATTGAGAGTGAAACTATTCCAGCAGGGCCTTAAAATCCAGGTGGCTGTGAATCTTCACATCCCAGCTTAATCTTTCCTCAGCTCGGGCCAGGTAGGTTTCTACTCCTTATCAGTAGAACTCTGGAGTCTCCTTTGACTAAGAGTTGTAAGAAATGAGTAAATTTATTCATGTTTGAAAAATTTGACGAATAAGAATTTTTTTTTTAAATAATAAATTTTATTTTTATATTCCCCATACAACTGCACATGCCCCATTCTGACCCCAATCCCTCCCCTCCCGGCCCCCACCCCCCAAAAAGTGTCTCTGGTTCATAGTTTTTTGTTGATTTTGATTTTCACTTTCTTATAGTTATTCATTTTCCTGATCCCTTATTTAAGTTTTCTAGATTCCTGCTATGAGTGAGACCATCCGGTATTTTTCTTTTTCTTTCTGGCTTATTTCGCTGAGCATGATCCCTTCCAGCGCCATCCACGTTGCTGCAAATTGCATGTGCTTATCTTTTTTGAATGCTGAGTAATATTCTATGGTATATATGTACCACATCTTCTTGATCCAGTCATCTATTTTTGGGCATTTGGGCTGTTTCCAAAGCTTAGCTATTGTAAATAGTGCTGCTATAAACATAGGGGTGCAGGTGTTCTTTGGAATTGATGTTTCTGTGTCCTTTGGGTAAATACCTAGGAGTGGAATTGCTGGATCATATGGAAGCTCTATGTTTAGTAGGTCCAGAAATCTCCACACAGCTCTCCATAGTGGTTGGACCAGTTTGCATTCCCACCAACAGTGCAGGAGAGTTCCTTTTTCTCCACAACCTTGACGAATAAGAATTTAAAAGGTCAAGGTCTTGAACTGGTTTCCCTTTGTACCCTCAGCCCTGGTAGATGCTTGGCAAATATATATATGAAAATGTGCCTGTGCAAGGAAACTGCAAGAATGACCTGTGACCCCTGCCCTCAAAGAACTTAATGATAGGGCACCAAATCAATGCACAGAAAAACAAAGATATTGCCTTCTACTGTTGGTAACTACCAAATAAGCATTGAGAGTGAGCTTTCTGGGCCATAGGGCCTGGGATGGGCAAAAAAAAGTCAGTGAAAGACATTTGAGCATTAAGTGCCAAGGACCCAACCATGCAAGAGGGAGGCTGTGAGTCTTCAATGAGGAGTAAAAACATGAGGAAACACCAAGGTGCTATCACACAGAATCTACCGGGCACTGAGACTGTTACACGGAGCAGGAGAGAGAGATAGCAAAACGCACAGGTAGGAGAAAGGCCTCACATTCTGTTACCTGCAGCTGTGTGCACTGACTAGAAAGGACTTTGCAATTAACTCTGTAGCTCATTACAGTTTCCAAATACCTATCAAATATATTCATTCAAGGCCCAAACCCCACTTATATGTACCTAAGAGGCTGTGCCTGATAATGATGCTGAAATACTTCCACTCCAGTTGGTAGTCATTGCCTTAAATCCCTAAATGCCACCCCATACTGCAAACCTCCTCCTGAAACACCAACTAAAGGTCCAGAAGTCCTTCAGTTCTGGTCCAGTAGAGTCCAAACAGGACATGTTTGGTCAACATTCACTCTGATTAATGGGTACGTTTGCTATACCAATTGAATGATACCATGTGCTACTCTTCTCTAAAACAGAACACACACATTTTGTTTCCTAGTCACACCCTTTAACACAGCTTATCAATGCAAAGCCAAGGAGTTTGGACTTAATTCCACAGACTCTGTGACATTCATCAAAGATCTAAAAAACTCAGTATCCAAAAGGGCCTTCAGAAAGTTGACTTGGATGAAGGGAACAAATTACCATTACCTTTCAGTTATGGTATTAAATTACAATTACCATTCAGTTATGGTATTAGACAGACAATAAAGAATAATAGGAATGTGTAAACAGAAGTGCCATACCACTTTTGAGCTCAAATCAAGCAATGTCCCACTCCATGTCCACTTGCTATACCTTCTACCTATAAACTCTTCCTCTACAATGCTGGACAATAGATTTTTTGCAATGGAGGAAATGTTCTATGTCTGTTTTGTAGCCCCCACTTCTTTCAAGTGCTGCTGAGCACTTGATATATGGCTAGTGTGTCTGAAAAATTGAACTTTAAATTTTATTTAAGTTTAAATAATATAAATATAGAATAGAAAACTACTTATAGATATGGGCTACTCTTTTGAAAAGCAAAGTTCTAGAAGCCCATCTCCCTTCCTCTATTCTTTCAATTTTTTCATTGGTATGTCTCCATTTCAGAGGGGCTTCCATGACCACGTGATTTAAAATTATGGCCCTTCCTATCCTCTTCCTATCCCCTTTCTGACCTTCCACAGAGCTTATTGCCATCCAATATTCTATATATTTTTTTATTTATCCATTTTTCTTTAGAGTGTAGCTAGAAGTGTAAGCTTATCAGGGCCTGGAATTAATTTCCTTTTGTTTGCTATCTCGACCCTATCCATTGAATAATTGAACTGTTCTATACATGAGAACCCAGTTTTTCAAAAGGAGCTTAGTCTGGAATTTTTACATGAAATCTTATTTTGCAATGTTGAAAATTTAAAAGAAAATGTAAATCCTATATATGCCAACACCAACAAAGGCCAAACAAAACCACTAGGATGCCAGAGCTGATTTTACTTACAAGAGTGGCATTATCAACGCTGAAGTTTATAGACTTACCTGTGGTTAAGAAAACACCAATTTTATTAGCTATTTGCAGTGAGGGGAAATTGAAGACCAGGCAGATGACTCTGGCATTTAACTGTCAGCAAAGAGATGAGGATCTGAATTAGTAAGGTCAGTGGATATAGGGGGAGATTAGATGTCAGATATTAACAAAAGAAAACTCAGACCTTAAACTCTTGTTAGGAGGAGTAGACAAGTACCACAGGTGGTGGTATGACCCACACAATATCTCCTGTCCCCTGGGATCTTCTGCAATATGATCTTGCCACTCCCCCATGAAGAGATGGGGTTTCTTTTTCCATGCCTTTGAAGCTGTGCAATTCCTTTGACTACTTTGTCCAATAGGAGAAGTTGTGTAAGTAGCACTTCATACTTTAGTGTGCTTAGCAGCTTCCACTTCTAGTCCTCTTGGAAGGCTCCCACTTGGGATTTTCCCACTCAGATCCCAACTTTCTTGTGATGAGATGCCCAAACCACCTGGAGAGTGCACACAGAGATACGCTCCTGGCCAACAACCAGCCTCAGTTGCCAGCATTTGGAAGTCACTTTGGCCACCCAGTTCAGCTGAGCCTTCATACAAATCCTGCTAGCCAACATCTGTCCACTGTTTTGGTGAGAAGCCTAAGTAATGACCACCCAGCTGAGTCCATTCAACCTGAAGAACCACAAGAGATAATAAATTGCTTTAAACTACTACATTTTGAGGTGTTTGTTATACAACAATAAATGACCAAAACATGTTTCAAAAATGTGTGAAGAACATACTCCCTGGTCAATAAAAAGGAAGAAGATTTCATATTTGCATGTGTATGAAAAAATTTGAACTTTCTTACAAGTGGTCAGAATTAGTTACATTGGAAAAGGAAAGACGGAGATAATTTCATTTATAACTTTGTGTATATACACATATATATTTAAAATGTGAATATATTATCTAATCAAAACATTAAATTTGAAAATAACTCCACATTTAGAGCAGTTAGAGAGGTAGGGGGAACTGGGTTTAAGGGTTTTAGTTTTGCATGACAGTTAAACCAATTAAACTGGAAGGCACCCAAGTGGAAATCCTACCAGCAAGAGCAGGGGTTGAGCTGGATGGAGCTCAAGAGAAAGGGTTAGAAATATAGGTACACCAGTGTCCAAAAATATGATACCAAAAGGTGGAACTAGACTAGGGGTGCTCGGGAATAGAGCAAGAGCAGAGCCAATCAAACCTACACTAGGCTGAAACCTTGGAGAACATGCAGTAGTTGAGTTTCCTTTCCTGGTTACATGGAATTTGGTGTAGTGATTCTCCTGGATTTTCATCCTTTAATTTTTGTGGCCCTGTAGGATTACCAAGAATACCAAAGAAAGCATCTGTTAGCTGGGCTTTCCCCTGAGATTTTCCATCTCCTGTGTACCTGCTTGTTTCCTGATAAGTGTAAAACATCCCTGTCATGCTAATCA